TATGTTGAGGGATTCCGGATCATCGGTGCTGTAGGCATCGGCTGCTGCAGCGTCTGTTTATGTTTTTTCTTACCCCCCATCTGCGGCGGTTTTCAGTGCTGCTGGGGTGCCAGATAAATATCCAGGAGAAACCAGGTATATGTCTGAAGGGCGTCAGGAAGTATTATATGTCGAGGTGGTATCCAGGCGAAACCAGGAGAAGACAGAGGAAGCCAGATATCTATCACTTAGAAGGCAGGTAGAAGCAGGCGGGTAAAAGGCCGGTAGTTGCGGGAAAGCAGTGAGAAGAGTTGAGAGGAGCCGACGGCTGGAAACCGACTGATGGCAGGGGAGAGCATAGGGCAATTTCAGCCGAGGCATTCCGCAGCTTTCCCGTAGCGTAGCGGCGAGTCTCGTGCACGGGCGGCGCACCGGAACTACGTCATCGGCGCACCATTCTCTATCTTGTAAAAAAGTTGGGTCTGGTTTGGCCCTGCTGCCTTCAACCAACTGTAAACTTTTATTCTTTGCATATCTTACTTATTTTTTCCTCCCTAGTCTGACAGTGGCCATTTTCACTAAGGGCAGATTACTAGATTTCCCTTTACTTGCTGGAACTCTGGCAGATGTGACTAGGACACGACCATGCACATCATCTCAGGGGAGCAAAATGCCTTTCCCTGAGATCTTGTGAGATTACAGATGAGATTTCCTAGCAATGCTCTGCTGATGTAATCATGCCCAAGCACTGCATCCTGGGAAGGTTACATCATTTGTGCCAAAGTGGACCAGGAAGTAGAAAAAAAGAAATTGTAAGTAAACCCTTTAATGAATGTAAGATGATTTCATATCCGCATGCAGAGCTGTATGCTGATGTGATTTTTAGTCAAAGGGGTATAGGTCTGCTTTAACTTTATGGGCCTATTAACTTTTAACCAGAAGAAAAAAATTCACTAAGAATGTTCACTTTTACCCCATTCTCCCAACTGCTGGTTAGCTCAAACAGAGTGAATGTACATGCAGTCTCACTAGACGAATAAGCTATGCACTTCTTTTTACAAATAGACCTCTTTTATATGCTGACAAATGAAATTCCTCCTGCCTGCAGCATTGCAGCATACTGGCGGCATAATCTCCCCAGATTGCACCACTTAGGCCTAGGAACAGTCACATGACTAGTATTCAATCTGAATTTCATTACAAAAAGTACATTTTAAAAAACATTTATTCTACATTTGCTGTATTTTGTGACATGTTGACGATGTAACTAACTGGTCCGCTTTAATGGGCTTTGTATTGCAATGTCTCTAATAGGAACTGCCTGTATGGCTTCACAGAAAACATTTAGATTCAGGCTTTGATCTGGCACATTCATATGATACCGATATATTAAATCCTATGGCTAATGTGACTGCCAGTGTACATTTGTGCTTGAAGTTAACGCTAAGCTCAAGGCAATAGGATTTGTGTTTTCCGCCAGTGCTCGCTTCTCTTCCCAGTGACTGCCCACCTTTTTCATTCCGTGATTTCTTTTTATGTCGATTTTTCTTTTTCAAATGAAAATACATGAAGTCCCAGCTTTGAATTGTATATTCTTTCTTCTAGGTATAGCTGTGGGCCTACAGTTTATGATCACGCTCATCTTGGACATGCATGGTGAGATATTACTTTACATCTTTGCCATCAGATAGAAGGAACACTTGAATCAGGCAGGGAAAGTGCCATGTTCCTGCTGATACATCGGCGCATCCCTGCTTTCTTTCCTCCCCGCTGGGCGCTGCTCTGTGTCCCAGCGGTGAGGAGAGAAAGTGTGACAGCCGGCCGAGTGCTGCGGGAGAAGAGCGTTGTGAGCGGCCGGCGTCTCTCCTCCCACACCACTCAGCCTCCTATCACAGTCCGGCAGAGCGGTGTGTGGGCGGAGACAGGCCGCGCTGTCACAGGAGGCTAGGCTCTCCGCACCGCTCGTTCAGCCTCCTGTGACAGCGCATCAGAGAGCAAGGTTCAAACACTCAGTGATCACTGAGGTGTTTGTAGATAATTGAGGACAGAGTATGTTTACTATATCTTCAATTATGAATGAATGGGAGTGTTGATCACCTCCTGTTCATTCATAGTTGTAGTTATAGTAAACACACAATGTCCTCAAGTTATCAATGAACAGGAACACTCATAGAGGATTCCTGTTCATTGATAACTGGAGCTGCAGAAAAAGAGATTGAGGACTCCGTGTCCTCAATCTCTTTTTCTATTTTAAAAAGGAAATATCAGGGGTCTGTTTAGATCCCTAATATTTCCTCGAAGCCCCTAAAAGTAAAGTAAAAAATAAAAATATTTAATAAAAATGAATTAACAAGTAAGTAAGTAATTAACAATTAAGTAAAAGTTTATAAAAAATAAAAAATGTGAAAAAATTAAAATTAATAAACATTTTCGGTTTCGGCTTGACAATTTTTTTTTTATTTCGGTTTTGAAATTCCCATTTCGGTGCACCTCCTAGTAGAAACATCTACATTAAACTGTGGGCAGATTTGACTTCCTTTATAAGATTTCATTATTATGCTGGTATACATGTATGTTTGACCTGTATAGCTTCTAGAACTAATAATAGTGGGGGGAATTCATAAAAAATGGAGCAGACAGAATCTGGAGCAACCAATCTGCTTCTCTCTTCAGTTTTTTCAGTTTGAAAAAAACAGAGACGTTGATTGGTTGCCATGGGCTACTGCTCCAGATTCTGTCTGCTCCAGATTTGATAAATTCCCCCCAATTTTTTGTATTGTGAAAATCTGTATGCATGGAATTTACTCCTTCTGCTGCTGGAATTCTAAAATGCTACAATTCACTCCCAATTGTGATGATATTTTTCTGTGGTAGTGTGTAGGTCAGATTTATGTGGATAATGAACATCAGGGAAAACAGTAACGGCGCAGAAAGGACAAGTCACTAGTATTCCTTGCCCTAGAGCAATGACCATAAGCTCCTGATGTTCAAGCACCATGGCATCTTTGCTGGCAGGTTAATATCGAACTTAATAATCGGCTAACTAATCGATTTTGAAAATAATCGTTAGCTGCAGCTCTATATGTCATCTTGCTGTGCCTGTGAGTGACAATATCATCTTTGTACCAGGGGCCATTGGAGGCCATGGCATTCTACTGCCTCTAGCATTTAGCACTGACATTAGGATCTATTTAGAAAACCTCTGTTGGGAATCGTTGGGTCTAAACAGCGTGATCACCTAGCGGGCTGAAGATGTTCATTCTTCGGTTACCAAGAAGGGTCATAAACTGTCAAATGTAACTAGGATATCTGAACTCACACACACTCTTACATATTCTGTTCTTTTCAATACTTTCTTTTAAAAACCCATGATTTTATCTGATCAGAGAAATATCATTATTTGAGACGTTGATAGTCCTGATTGTCCTGATTGTTTAAAATGCTCTAGTCGTTTTTGACGTTTTTCAATTTGCATTGTCTTTCAGCTCTTATGTTCGATTTGACATCATTCGGAGGATTTTGACCCAGTTTTTTGGCATCAATGTTGTCATGGTGATGGTGATAACAGATATTGATGATAAGATAATCAAGAGATCTAAAGAGGTAAATGCTGCAGTGTTTTGTTTGATTTGTGCTAATACTGTTCTTTCTTTTTATGGTGTTGGTCATTGATTTAGCTGACAATTTTGCTTAAAGTGACATTAAAGGATATTTCTCCCTCCCCCCTATGCTGGTGTAAGGACTTACCTTACATGATGTCTCTTGATCCGATCGTCTTCTTTCCTGTAGTTTTCTGGAGACCCTCCAGCTCTGGTGCCGCTCTCTCCGATCCAGCGCTGACTCCTCTCTCTTTCTGGCACTTCCTGTCCCACGGAGTCTGTGCAGATGCATGCTGCCTCCATTGACTTACCTTGTGTGTCTCCTCGTCTCCCAGCCGAAGATATGTACTGCGCATGCGCCCACCCCATGATCCTTTGCGGCCGCCCGAGGTTTTTCTCATCGGACGGGAGCGTGCGGCAGAGACACAGGTAAGTTTAAACCTTTTTTGTAGCTTCCTTTTGTTTATGTTTTTGCATATATCTACTGCTTGATATATGCTAAAACCCCGGAGGGTTTATTTATCCTTTAAAGTGACACTAAACTCAGGAATTAGATATTAAAAATACATTCAAGTACCTTACATTTAGCTGTAGATCATCAATTCATCTCTGAATTGGTGCTGACACTGTCCTTCCTTCTGGAGGGTGGCTAATTTTGTCCCCCATGGTCCCTGTGTGTGTTGTAAAGTAGTTACCCCTGCAAGTTCACTCCTGTGTTAGACCACAATCTCAATACATATTGATAAACTAAACCTGAGATTGTAGTCCTTCACAGGAGTGATCTTGGAGTGGTGGCTACTTTACAACACACACAGGGACCATGTGGAACAAAAGTAGCCACCCTCCAGAAGGAAGGACAGTGTCAGCACCAATTCAGAGATGATCTACAGCCGAATGATACATAAATAAGAAAAAAGAAAACTTGCCGCACTCCTTACCGGGACTCCCCCAAAAAAGACAAAGACGGGTGCTCGAAATGACTGTGGATGGCGCCGCCACACGTAGACAAAAAGAAAGACATCACCAGCACTCCAACAAGGATAATAAGAGCAATTAGATGCTCATTTATTGACAGATGATGTCTCTCATGGGGAAGCACTTTCGGGGCCACACAGGGTCCCCTTCGTCAGGCTCAGAAATGACAGTGCAGACGTTTAAATAGACGTCTATTGGTATGGGTGTGTCATGTCTTTCACTCACTGGTTGGTATGTCTATATAAATGACTATATGTTATCTCTGCACTGTCATCTCTGAGCCTGACGAAGGGGACCCTGTGTGGCACCGAAAGCGCTTGCCAATGAGAGACAGCATCTGTCAATAAATGATCATCTAATTGCTGTTATTATCGTTGTTGGAGTGCTGATACACAAATAAGACACATTTTTGTTAAGGCTCCATTCAAAAATATAGTGTTTGCGTTTCCCACATGGTTTTCCGTGCGGAAGACCATGCAGCACAAAAACGCGAAATCTTCACATCTGCATGGATTCTGCTCGCAATAGTCTGAACAATACAAGAACTATAATAACCAGCATTCCGGGGAGTCCATTTGCACAATGCTGATTGATTTCTAGATTAAGTATTTTAATGTGGTGTCTGTCAGTGTGAATCCTCCATACCCCACTTCTGCAGTTGATGTCTACATTTTGATACCGGTGCCTTCTGTGCTATAATACACAATAGGGGTTATTCACAAAGCTGCCAAAGGCAGCCAAGTGAATAACCCAGCCAAAGTGAAGTGAGCTGAACGCTGTTCGGCTATTCACTTCTGGCTTCTATGGCTGATTTCAGCCGTACATCGGCTGCCTTCGGTCAGCCAAACATGCTCTGCTTGTTTGGCTGAGCCGAAGCGCAGAAGGAGTTCGACTCCTATCCAACATCTGGATCTTGTGAGCCGAAGCTCCGGCAGCTCACTGGCTGTTTAATGACAGATCAGCGTCCCCAGGTCATTTTCGGGATGCTGATCTGTCATTACAACTGGGCAGAGCAAGCTATGAGATCACGGCTGGCTCCGCCCAGCTGTCATTTGCGTGGTGATCAGTCGGTTTCGGCCGACCTTTCTCCATGCTTCAGCTGTCACTTCGGCTCAGTCGAGCCGAAGCATATGCCTTCGGCTCGGCAGTGCTGCTCAGGTGCCTTCGGCTGCTGTACGGGCTATTGTGAATAGACCTTTACAGCCGCCCTTCAGTTCAGCTTAACCGAAGGGCAGAGGCGGCTAAAGAGAGCAGAAGGATCAGCCCAAGCTACGGCTGGATCCTTCGGCTCTTTAGTGAAAAACCCCCAATAAAAAAAATGTTTCATTAGATGGTGACAATTTATTATAGGCAGTGCACTTACTTAATAGGTCTGTGAACTTGATAGGTGACTAAAGGTTTGCTTTTCATTGGAAGTAAAAAAAAACAACCCTATTGTCAAAAAACTAAACATACCGTGTTTCCCCGAAAATAAGACACTGTCTTATATTTTTTTCGGCTCAAAAAAACACACTAGGTCTTATTTTCGGGGTAGGTCTTATTTTTTTTCAATGTACAACAATCCAAAGTTAATGCAAATCCAAATTAAATAATCAAAAATGGCAAAGATAAGAATAGGGTAATCAGGGCAATCAGGGGTGCCGTACCTTTCCTAAGAGCTATTTGATCACTAGAATGGATGAAGCACACTTTCACTATTGATTCCTCACAGGCAGAGTGCATTTGGTATCACTCCGCCTGTGACAGGAGACGGCGCTATAGAGGAAGCATCGGCTTATGCGGCTCTGCTCCCTCCGCTGCCGCCTCGCTTCCTCTAGCGCTGGCTTTGTTTGCACTGCTGATTCCCCCCTTATGACACAACTAGGTCTTATTTTCGGGGTAGGTGTTATATTTTAGCAATTCCCCAAAAAAGTACTAGGTCTTATTTTCGGGGTAGGTCCTATTTTCGGGGAAACAGGGTAAATATGTATTTCTGTATTGAATTTCCATCAGTTCTCTCCTAGTACTAAAAACCGTATCTGTCTAGAAGTTTGTAAACTTACTTATTGAAGATGTCCATAGGATGTTCTTCCTCAGTATAGTGACTCCATTGAACTTCCTTGTGTCACAACTCACAGAGCTTGCCTCCTGAACTATAATTCCTGAACATTGCAACATTATCATTGCTTGCTGGATTTCTTTAGAAATTGAGATTGCATTACATTGAGCAGCAGGGAAAGAGATGCAAATCACACTGGAAATCCAGGAGAATGTTGAAAGTGATGGGCAGAGGGAAGCAGCACTCACTACATAAAAGGGATTTTTAAAAGAATGCTTTGATTGCATTATTAGAAACAACTCTCGTATGTATTCCTATTGCAATGCTGATGTTATAACAGGATGGTATATGCTGGGACTATTGAACTCTTTTAAGCAAATAACATTAGTAAGTAGCCTAATTTAAATTGCTAGGTCTTCTGCTATAGAGTACAGTCTGAACCAAATACATAACTAATATTCTGGAGTGTGAATTTATTCATATCAACATATTTTCTCTGATATTTTCATATTTCGCTGACATATATTTTTTAGACACACCACAGGTTGTCACCTGAGCAGGAAGATGAAGCAACTGTATTACAATTAGGTTAATTACAAACAAAAAATGCTACAACATCCTGAACACACGTAGAACAGACAAAGTAGGTGTTTTCTGAAAGGTTTTCAAAGCTATAAATTCTTCATACAGGATATTTTCCCATACAGAGTATCAGTTTCTTTCCTGGAAGTGGCCCCCAACCTTTTTACCAGCTTGGTTATCTACCTGATTATTGCCATTTTTTTTTAATGAATTTACAATCAATCAGATCAGATCATTTAAATTTTTTTTTTTTTTTTTTTTACTCCTTTAAATGTAGATTTTTCAAGTCAAATCTTCAACCTCTTAATTAGAATATACTATTGCTTCCCACCCTCTGACCATGCTGTGCTCTTGTATTTTATGCATGACGGGGTAGACATTGTATCTAGAGCAGGGTCTCGGCCACTATTTTCAAGTTTAGCAGCTGAAATACATCACTAATGGTGATATTTTACAAGACATTAATGGTGCTTTGTTAGTGAATTACTTTTGAAGTTTTAGAAATGCTCATAGTGGATGTATTCAAGGCTTTCATAAAATTACAGATAGATCCCTGGTGTACAGTGTGTCCTGTATCTCCTAACAGCTGTGCTTAACATATACAGTATGTTATATGTAAAACACAGTAGTAGTAGGTCACATTCAACTGCAAATGTGCTGTCATGTTGAAGATGTTTCACTGTTCAGCCAAGCGGCTTCATTAGCTCTATTGAATGTCAGGAACATACCCTGGCATTTCTAGGTGATCGCTTTCTTCCCCACTCAACTCAAATGTGTTTTTGTCTGTGTGTCCATTGGAGAGATTTGTTTTTACTGTCTATCCTGAAGGGCTATGGGCAACAAACATTTCCATTAATATAATTGCTTAAAAACAATTAATAAAAGTAATGTGTTTCACATAAAGAAGGATTCCAGTACCCCCACCCTGCAAGGGTTAAGTGTGAATTTTTGTCTGGGTGCGAAGAAAAAAAAAGGTTGTACTCACCCAAACCACCGAGTTGGCTGCTTGCTTCTCCAGTCACTGAAGCCTGTATCCTCCCATGCTACAGCATTGTAATGTCCCTCAGCATCCTCATGTCTGTACCTTGTGTATAGAATGTGATGATTTACGGGACCTTAGGTTGCTGCAACAGAGGGGGAGAGAGACTCCAGGGACCAGTGTAAGAGCAAACTGGCTCTGAGGATCAGGTAGGTATAAGTTTTTTTACCTAGATAAAAATGAACAGTTAACTCTTGGACTGGAGGAGTAGCCCCGCTGCAAGTGTTAATACAAATTCTGCCCAGAGTTCTGCTTTAAAGCAATTGGACACCTGAAAGGAAACCAACCCCGTGAGTTCATTATTGCTTACTCCCTAAACAAATTAAGGGAATTTTGGGAGAAGAAGCTTCTTGAATGAGTGGTGAAACAT